CGGGGCCCGGCCGCCCTCCTCTGCGCACCGCGGGGCTCCGGCCCCAGCCGGCCGGACGGCTGCGGGGGGTCGGGGGGGATGGTGGTGGAGGCGTTTCCCGGGCTCAGCCCTCCCTCCCCTTGCTGCCGCGGGAAGCGGTGGGGGACCCCCCCTCCCTCCCCCTGAAGATGGTTCCGCCTTTGGCCACCTGTAGGAATGTAACGCCCGGACATTTGCAGCCAAGCTCTGGCCCGGCGTGGGGAGCTCCGAGGAGAAACGAAAAGGGAAAAAACCCACACACAGAAAGTGAGCTTGGAATCCTAGCTACTCGGGAGGCTGAGATCTGAGGATCGCGGTTCAAAGCGAGCCCGGGTAGCAAAGTCCTTGAGACTCTTATCCCCAGCAAGACGGAAGTGGTGCTGTGGCTCAAGTGATAGAGTTCTAGCTTTGAGCAGAAAAGCTCAGGGACAGCGTCCAGGCCCTGAGTTCAAGCCCCAGGACTCATGCATCTGCGGGATGCGTGCGCACACACGTACCCAGCACACACAAATTCAGAAAAGGAAAAGCAGCTCTTTGCCTCAGTTCTGTAGACTTAACTAACAGTCAGGACTTGTACAGAGGCAAACACAAAGCCACTTTCTCTTTGTGGGAGTTGAAAGATTAACTCCAGGCACTAGAGAAAAGTCCCTGGACCCACCCCAGGTTTGACTCCGAATTTCTGGGGGCGGGGCTTGGAAATTACCTGAGAACAAGCTCCCCAGGCTATCCTCATGCACAAAATTGAGAGCCAAGGGCTCTGAGGAAAGCTCTCAGACTGGGCCACATCCAAAGACTGAACTTGGGAATGGCTTGATGGCTCCCCATTCCTTGGGAGACTGCCCTCAGCCAGCCATCTGTCCTCTTGAACCATTGAAAAGCAACCTCTGGAAGCCCAGAGGTAAATCCTCTTGATTCTTCTAAAGGGAGAGGTTCATTCATTCACTTTGAATGTCAAGTAACCATGATCAAAGTATAAACTTCACATAATAGTGAAAAAGAAGTCTCTTTCCAGTTTTGTCCCTCTTCCAAGGTTTTGTCTGTTTGTTTTGGTCAGTCATGGGGCTTGAACTCAGGGCCTGGGTGCTGTCCCTGAGCCTCTTTGTGCTCAAGGCTAGCGCTCTACCACTTGAACCACAGCACCACTTTCAGCTCTTTCTGTGTATATGGTACTGAAGAATTGAACCCAGGGCTTCATGCATGCTAGGCAAGCACCCTTCCATTAAGCTACATTCCCAGCCCTCTTCCAGTTTTTGTGTGTATTCTTTCAAGTTATCTTATGTATACGTAAGTATTCATGTGTGTGTGTGTGTGTTCATGTTTGTGTATTTACATCTACCCTTGTACCCTTAAGTAATCGGCCCCAGCTTTTTTTTCTAAACATTAGCATTTGTTAACTCTGTATCTAATGACATATTACTGCACTTGCGTTTTAAAATGTTTGAAATAATGAATATTTAAGATGTTTCCAGACTTAGCCTCTTCTATATCTTGATATGATGACTACCTTTCTACATACTTCTTGGTCCATATGTATCACTGCCTTCATTGCTAGCTCAAAATCAATGCAAATTTTCAATTCCTATAGAAGCTATCACTTAGTCCTCACCAACCTACACTTGTATCATGTGTTCTAATACCCTTTGCCTGCAATCTAGCCCAAGGAAGTGATTGAGCACAAAGAACAAACCTTTTAAAAGGGAAAGCCAAATAAATGAATGTGTGAGAGGGTTTTAAAACATAAAGTATGCAGAAAGCCCCTGTCTTGGGCTGTTGGTGTGTCTCAATAGTGCCTCTCCAGGAGACCTTGGTTCCAGTTCTGTAACTTGGGCAAGTTTTCTTACCCTAGGACTTCTTAATCTAGGACTGAGTTCCTGTGATCTCTTCCCTCCCTTCCTTTTCCCTTCTCTTCCCCTCCACTGTTTGAGACAGGGCTTCTCTGTGTTTCCCCAGCTGGCTTTGAACTTGCTAAGCCCAGGCTGGCCTGGAACTCCAGATCTTCTGGCCTGAGTGCTGAGATTACATATGTGCTCCACCACACCAGCTGATTCCCTATCTTTAATGTGAGAATCACAGTCATCTCTGCGACTGAAGATTAATCAGATCATATTTACATAAATTTTGGGATCCAATAACTGCTTAATAAGTGGTACCTATTTTTCTCCTTTCAACTTTTCATTTTGAAATTTACAAAAGTTGAAAAAATGACCTATTAAGCACAGTTAACATTTTCCCACATTTCTACTTCCTCCTACGTGTGCTCATATACATGTATATTTCCTGGGCTACTTAAAAATTAATTGTTCACATCATGCTGACTATTCCAGCACTTGCTTCCTAGGAACAAGGAGGATCGTTGTATATTACCACAGTTAGGAAGTTTAACATCTAGTATTACAGGAGTCATACTCAAACTTCCCCAGTTTCCACCAGTGAACGAATGGCTAGAGAAGAATGGGCTCATCAGGGTTCCAGGGAAGGGTGATTCTCAAAGTTAGGACTACTTCAGGGCAGAAGAGTTTGGAATCTAACATAGGGATTGTCCCACCAGCCATGTTTGTGGAGACTGCCTCCTTTATCTGACTCCAGTCACCCTCTAATGGCATCAAATGGAATGGTCCTGCTGCTTCCTTTCCAAGGGTCCTCTGATTGGGTTTCTGATGTTCCACATGTTCCATTGGTCCCAACAAACAGAAGCAATTTTCTGGCATTATGGAGGCCTAGATCCTGGGGCACTCATTACCACAAGCCCCTACCCCAACCCATCCCAGCAATAACTCCGTGGGCCTGGATGCTGTCCCTGAGCTCTTCAGCTCAAAGCCAGTGCTCTACTGCTTGAGCCACAGCGCCACTTCCAGTTTTGTGAGTGGTTTATTGGAGATAAGAGTCTCACGGCCTTTCTTGCCTAGGCTGGCTTTGAATTGAGATCCTCAAATCTCAACCTCCTAAGTAGGATTACAGGTGTGAGCCACTAGCACCCAGCTTCAGACATTGTCTTCTTTCCACAATCTTCCCTTTTTTTTTTTTTAAATGCTATTGGAGTTGAACTCAGGGCTTCATAATTGCTAAGCAAGCACTCTACTGCTTGAGCCATATTCCCAACCCATTTTGCTTTGGTTATTTTTGAGATGGGTTTTTTGTTTCGTTTTGTTAGTCAGGCTAGCCTATTTATGCTTCGTATGTAGCTAGAATGACAGGCACCCCCACCCCCACCCCATAGCTATTGGTTGATGGAGGGTCCCACAAAAATTTTGCCTGTTTCAAACTTTAGCCCTTTAATTCTCTACCTTCTGAGGGAAGGGAGAGGAAGATTACAGGTGTGGGAATCACCACACCTGCCAATCTTTAGGTCTTAAGGCATAAGGTTTCAATTGATCTGAGACTAAGGATCCAACTGTGGTCACTGGCCAGATTCAGACAAGAACATCAGGTGACGTTGTTGCTCACTCCCCAGATTCTCCTTCATCTATCCACCCATCCATGGTAATTGACTTTGAAGTTGTTCCAAGTACTCTGCAAGGTGCCCCTGCCTATCAGTTTAGAAGAGCTTCATGCTGCCCCCTGCCTCAGTTTATCCTATTATAAAATGGAAGGGTAGCACAGCTACCCTTGAGGACAGAATAATAGTTCGAAGTTGGAGAAACATGCAGGATCATGAGGGAATCACTACAGGCCAAGAGGATTATGTTAATATGAAATAAAGGAAAACACCATATTGGATACTCTCTCAGTCTCTTACTGTGGTAGGAGAGGGAGGAAAGCAAGTATTGATGGGTGAGAGCTGAGATCCTCAAATTTGCTGGAAAGTCCCCACCAGAACCCTAAAAGAATCTGTGGAGAAGCCATTGGCTCACACTTGTTCTAGCTACTCAGGAGGCTGAGATCTGAGGACTGGGGTTTGAAGCCAGCCAGGGCAGGAAAGCTCCTGAGATTCTTATCTCTAATTAACCCTGGTAGAACAGTAGTCTAGTGGGTTCTTTTTGTTTTGTTTTGTTTTTTGTCGGCCGTGGGGCTTGAACTCTGGGCCTGGGCGCTTGTCCCTCAGCTCTTCAGCTCAAGGCGAGCGCTCTACCACTTGAACTACAGCACCACTTCCGGTTTTCTAGTGGTTTATTAGAGATAGGAGTCTCACGGTCTTTCCTTCCCGGCCTGGCTTTGAACCGCGATCCTCAGATCTCAGCCTCCTGAGTAGCTAGGATTACAGGCGTGAGCCACGGCGCCCAGCTAGTGGGTTCTTTTATTAGCAGCTACAGGACAGGAAAGAGAATTTGTTATTTCTCTAACCTCCTTCAGGTGGGATATTGAAAATGGCTAAGGCCAAATTGTGCCAAATATATCTATATTGGCAAGCAAGCAGAATAAGCCACCTAACCTATTTTGTGAAGGGTGGGCTGTTGGCCTGGTCTGGATCTTAGCCCTCATTCATGCAAGGATAGCAGGGCTCAGGTAATCTTCCTGAGCCAACTCCATATTATGAAAACTACTGACTTCACCAGTGAAAGATGATTTCTAGTATCACTCTAACCCATTAAGCCCTTGGGTGTAGATTTTGATGGCTTTTTTTTTTTTTTTTTTTTTTTTTGTCTTGGGGCTTGAATTCTGGGCCTGGGCTCTGTCCCTGAGCTCTTCAGCTCAAGGAACGTACTCTATCATTTGAGCCACAGCACCACTTCCAGCTTTTTCTGCTTATA